TACCAATGACTCCGAAATTAAAAAGATTCTACGTGATTCTTTGTTGAGAGATTGTACCAGGATTTTGCAAGAAATACCGCTTGATGATCATAAATATAATTATTGGGATGTTTATGTTGGCACGTTTTTTTATTTAATTTTCCTTTACACATGTGGAAACGTTTAATCTTAGATATTTTTTCTGCAATTAGGTAAAGCCGGATTAGCACTTTTATTTATGAAGATTCACGAACGTGATCCTGGCATGTTATCGCCTCTTATCATTCGCTGACCAGTTTAAGATCGAGTCCTAATTTTTCGAAATTATAGGATTTATGATTGGGCCGAAGTCGGCGCTAACTATTGCTGATCAATATATCGATAGTGCTCTTTCATTATATAATTCCAAGCATAAACCGTCGGCAACTGTTGTCGACCATCAATGCGGGTTCTTGTGTTCGGCCGTGGGATTATATACTGTTGCCGCTCATGGTATGTGAAATTTTTTTCCTTCCCTCACAGAATGATCAGAAATTTAAATTCACCTGCGAACAACCTTGACAGTGAAGCATCATAAGGGTGATCAAGAGTCGTCTCGCCGTTACATGGACATGCTTCAATCGCATTTTTCATATTCCTGTTTTTCACAATACACACCAAGTGAATTGCTTTACGGTCGTGCCGGATTTCTCTATGCTCAGAAGTTCCTCTCTAGCATATTTGGACCATCAGTAGAGCCTTCCGAATTATCATCCTTGATCTCATCTGTCTTTGAAACGATCATTGAAGACGGTGTCAGAAACGCAAAAGATCTTCGGCACAGAGAAGTTCCGTTATTATGGACGTTCCACGGTAAACCATATCTCGGCGCGGCCCACGGAATGGCCGGAATCCTCACCGTCTTATTATACTACCCGGAAAATTGCCGGAACGACGAGGAACGGATTAAAGACACCGTGGATTTTGTCTTATTCAATAGCCGTTCCGCGACCGGGAATTGGTCCATTTTGATGAACGATGAACGAGATAAGGAGTTGGTCCAATTTTGTCATGGTGCCCCAGGAATGTCCCTTCTGGCATGTAAAGCTTATCAGTATTACAAGGAAGAAAAGTAAAATATCGTTCTCCTTTGTACACGCGCGAATCAATAATGAACTTCCTTTGACCATTCTCTCCTTGCTCGGCCATCAGGTACTTAAAACTCGCGATGGAGATTGCCGACTACGTTTACTCCTATGGTCCAATTCGCAAAGGAGTTGGTCTGTGTCACGGCGTCTCTGGTAACGCATACACATTTCTCTCGGTGTATATACTTACCAAAGATCCCAAATACTTTCAATGGGCGTTGGAATTTGCTGAAGTTTGTACTCAGTGGGAGGAGAGAACCCAAAGGGGCGAATTCCGAGTTCCCGACAGGCCGTGGTCATTGTGGGAAGGTCTTGGTGGCGCAGCATGGTAAGATGAATAACCATTGTTTTTTTGTCCAAAAAAACTATTCTCCATTCACCAAAATCAATCCACGGGATGTGATCAGGTTAATAGCAGACTTATTGTACTGGGATGTTGAGGTGTTCAAAGGTTGCCCAGGTTTGACGGATATCTGAAGAGCATTTCCCAATGCATTGCAATAAATCTTGTTTCTCATGTGGTGGAGTGATTGAAAATGCGAGAATACGTAATTTCAAGTGTTTGTCGGGGAATGTATTGCCCAACTATATGTGATGTGCGAATAATAAAATCGTTGTTAGGTTGTTACACCACTTGAAAAGAAATGGCACTAATTTATTTATATCACCGTGGAAATGCATATGTAAGTACCCAATGTCTTTATTTCTAAATTTCAAATTATTCCTTTGTTGAATTTCTGCATGCGGATGAGATTGCATCATGAGTACAGTACAAGAGAGCATTTGACATTTGAATAAATATGGATCTAAGGATCTATGTTACACTGGATCCAACGAATGCTATGCTATATGCGGTGAACGCTGTATAAATGATATTCCTTTTTTTTTAAAAAAAAAAAAGCGAAAAAAAAAAAAAAATTTTTTTTTTTATTTTTCCCTCAAACTCGCTTGAAATCACATAATGTCACAACAGAGTAGTTTGCAAAGTTTAGAGCAGAATGAGTCTCCTGTCCCTTCGGCCTCTTCCGCGTTTGAACGCTACGGGTTCACGTCTGCCGAGAATTTGTTCGTGAGACAAAGAAAGGTATTCGAGCGGCACGCCTCGATTGAGGTCGGAGGACAGAAGTACATGAATCAGGACGATTTTATTTCGGCCATAGCCCCTGGGGAAGATTGGAAAAAAATCAAGAGGGAACAATTTGGCATATTATTTAAAGTGGCGGACAATAATAAAAAAGGTTTAATATCCCTTCAAGATTTTGTGGTGTTCGAGAATTTACTTTCAAAACCTGATGCAGAGTATGAAATCGCTTTCAGGCTATTTGATGTTGATGGAACTGGGAAAATCACATTGGATCAATTTAAGGAGATTTTGTCATCGAATATTGCACCCGAGAGTGTGCCGTTTGACTTTGATTGCGAGTGGTTGAAGCTGTTTGTCGGTAGAAATTCGGGAAAAAAACAAGAATTGACTTACGAAGAATTCACCCAACTATTAAAAGGATTACAGGGGGAACGATTGCGACAGGAGTTTAAATATTACGACAAAGATGGTGTCGGCCACATCACTCCTGATAACTTTAAGAAGCTCATTCTTTCCGTGGCCAGGCATAAACTCTCGGACTATGTCATCGAACATCTTCCAACGTTGTGCAACGTGTCCGCTGGAAATAAGATTAGCTACGCACAGGTTGCCGCCTTCCATAATGTCATTAGACAAATGGACATGGTGGAAAGGATCGTGCTAAAAGCTATTTCCGAAAGTGCCGACAAGAAGATCACCAGGAACGACTTTCTCAACACGGCGGCAA